GGTATCATTTTTGCTTTTTAAGAGTCAAAAAATAACCTTAGGTATCCGTCCTTTGTAAATTAAGAACACTAAGTATACTAATGAATATAGTTTGTTCAACATAATGTTATTTCTTTTGTTCTTTGTTATGTCTTAATTTCTAATTTTGTTAAAGTACAATTTATTGTGTGTTAAATATTTTTGTAAGCTATATTATCACTGTTTTAACTTAGATGAAGCGACTAATCCTGATGATGATGACGTAATGATCGAAAAAGTTCTCGTGATATGTGAATCAGTGAAACATTGAAACAATAAAAAGTTATTGAATAATGATTGAGAGTTAGTTCAGTATCAGAAAAATTATTCACAGACCCGTACGCAGAATGTTTGAAAGGGAGGTTCTAGTTTGGGAAATCAAAAGCCACACATATTGTGCAAAGCATAATAAGCATGCAAAGCATTTATTGTTGAAATATATCGCCAGCAAATCATAGACACCTACTTTATAGAATCCGGTGTTACGCCTCTGGTCGTTTGTTAATTACCCGTAAAAATTATTTTGGAAAAACTTCAGCGATACAAGTTCTTTCCTAAATAAAACTCGTTTATTCTTTCTCAACACAATTTTGCAATACACTTAATTTCCACAGTCACTTCAAGTTAAACACATGCTATAATTCATAACGATTCACGCACTTTTCTTACGGTGCCCGCTTCACTCGTTTATCCGTGTCTATATCTTCAATCTCTCTATCTGCAACTATACTCTTGCCGTCACTTTATTTGCCAGCTTATATACTACAAAAGCGTACATCTCGTCTTTTCGTGAATCTTCCAGATACTCATCACGTGTAACTAGCGTCACGTGACTTCCACTGTCGTAACACTGCCCCTTCCTTAGTATTATAGCCACTTAAATTAAATCAATAGATAATTAACAATAACTTGATTAAATGTACAGAATTTACAAACACTACAAACACAAAATTAAAATTCAACAAAGTCTCTTAATTGTACAGGACGTTTCTTCTTTCTTACTGCTTTCCGTCTCATTGGCTTCTCCTTTACATGGGATTCATGTGTTCCATCAGGAAATGTCCCATTATCGGTAATAGTTACATCAGTGGTAGTAACTTTATCAAGGGCTTCACTGTTTCCCTTCTCAGAACTGGGTAGAATGTTTTCTTCGATAGTGGCTTTTTCAGGTGACACGTCTTCCGCTGCGTCGTCTGTTTCGTTGTCCACTTCGTCCCAACTGAAATGTCCTGGACCATGATAATGCAAAAGCCTGTTGGCATGCACCACATTTGGCTTGCCTCGCCGACCACATTTCATTCGGAAAGTCACGTCTGAGAGACGATACACCATATCATAAGGGTCTTCCCATAGAGAAGACAACTTAGGAGACTTCCCTTTGGTCTTCCTGGGATTATACAATCACACATTGTCTCCTG